AGGAATTCTAAAAGAGGGAATTCGCGGGCTACTAGTTGAGGAACCGTACGTATTCAAGTAAACAATTTCGGTGTAAAATCCCATATATAATCAAAGAATTAAATAAAGNAATCCTTTTCTTGTTATTAATGCACTTTACAACCGTTATAAATTAAACATTCAACATTATCGTTAAACAAAATTACCTTTAAAAAAATAAATAAAAAGGGGACTTTATTTATTTATTTTTAGAACAATTCGATCTTAAAATAAAGCGTTTATTACAAGATTTATTTCTGTACTAGAAGGCAATCGTAGTTATTTTTAAATCAAATAGACCAATTCCAAAAAAATAAAAAAAAAAAAGAATATCAAACTAACTTACACAAATGTTCTTTATTCAATGTTTAACAAAGGTATTCCCTTTCAATGGTTTCGGATAATAGCACTATTTCCCTTTACTACTATATAGCTTATTGTTATTCCTTGATAGCAACCAGAAACTACCAATTTCTACTACGTCCTTCTATAATCGTATTAATCTTCGGAAACTAAGTAAAAGACATCATCTGCAAATTCAGCACGTGCAGATAAACATCATTATGCCAGCCAAAATCCTGACTTCACGTAACACTCTAACCATTATTATTGCACTTTAGGGAAATGAAGGCTAAAGTATTAAGAAATACCTTTACTGTATTATTGTCTAGTGTTGCTGGAGTCAACTGTTTATCCACAATGAAAATGGAAAAAATGTATATGATACACGAAACGAATTATCAATGAGTATCGATTGGATATTATTTATATTAATGTATGACATTGAAGAAAAATTGATTCTCTCCCCCATTTTCCATTCTTACCCCTTTTCTATTGAGAGATTTTTGAATAAAATTTCTGATGATTGTAGCCAAAAAAAAAAAAAATTTTTTAAATCGATTTTCTTGTACTTGAATTATGATAATGATATTTAATTCTGAATACAGTAAAACCTGTCTAAAACGGAATCTGCCTAAAAATACTTCAAAACAGAGCGATTTATGTTAAAAAAGAAAAAAAAATCGCTGTTCAAAACTGAAACTTGCCAAACATTTACCGGCTTAAACAGGTTTTACATATTTAAACGTTAAATTAATTAGCATATTTCGAATTTACATTAAAATAAACTTTAACTTGTCTAGAATAAATATATTTAATTTAATATTCTTAAGCCATCTTCCTTTATAGCCGAAATTTAAACGAGATATGCTTCTATATCATCTTGTAAATCAATACTTAGAGCTGAATTTCTGCATCCTCTCTTACTTTTTTTTTTCTATTAGTAAATTTAAGACTTGTGATGTAGGATAAGATGTCAGATTTGGAGTAGATTTAATGTTGATATATATGCAATAATATCAAGTTATAAATTATTTAATAATTTGATCTTAATAATAAAAATGTATGTAATATTTTTTTAATGTTAGTCGAATCCCTTAAATCATCTAAAAATTTATATACATAAAAAAAATTGAAATTCCTCTGATTTTAGTATAGGAAGCGTTATGCATCTTTTAAAAACTCTTTTAATATTTTATTTAAAGTGAATATTTTTAGTTAATTCTCATTACAACTAATGTAGACTTTTTATCTAAATTTCTGCTGATTTTGATTAAATTCTTCATTATTTTATATTAGTAATGTCCAGTAAAGATTAAGGTACTCCTAAAAGTGGCATTATTTTTGTCTAAAGTATTGCCGTTTAGCATAAATATAAAAGCAAATACTAAAACTTGTTTAAAACGGAACCTGAATAAAACGGAAAAAATTATTTGAAAAAGGAGCGAATTTTCTTATGTTAAAAAAAAAAACCTGTTCAAAACGGAAACCGGAAAAAATATTCCGTATTGCGCGATTCCGGTTTACACAGGTTTTACTGTATTTCATTAATGATATAGGCCTACACTTGTCCATATTTTTAGTTAATTTTTAGTACTATTAAATATAAAGTTTTCCATCTTTAGCAATTATTTTATTTATATTTTCTCCATTAATTTTAAATAAATTCTTTTTTATACAGTAAAACCTGTGTAAACCGGAAATTCCGAATATATTTTCGGTTTTTCAAAGTTTCCATTTTAAGCAGGGTTTTTTTAACATAAGAAGTCGCTCGGTTTCGAAGAATTTTTTTCCTTCTAGGCAGGTTTCCATTTTATTCAGCTTCCGTTTTAGACAGGTTTTACTATAATAGCAATATACAGTGATGGTTTTAGGAGTAAGCAATAGGAAACCCGTCTAAGACGTCGAGTTTCTTTATGGCCTCTGTTAAATTTTACAAGAAAAATGCATTAAATATTTTAAAATAAACGTATCCTTTAAATATATATTATATTCTACAAAGGAAGAAGTTTAAAATCAATTTTCTGATTGGCTTTTAAGCATACATTTACGATAATTTACTTGTAAACATCAACAAAACTTTGATTAATATACAGACCTTTAAATAAAGTAATAAACTAAAATGTAGAAACATGAACATTTTGTGTTACTCTAAGCCGAATTTAATTAATTATTAATTTCGATTTAAATTTCAAATTTATTATTTGATATAATCAATTGGTATTAATGGAACGGTGATAAATCTGAAAGGAAATAACTATTAATAAATCAAATGTTTGTATTATTATTATTAATGTAAACAATGACAAATGACAAAGTAATCTAAACTCGATGAACAAGCAAACAGAAAAATTTTTCACTGGCTTTCTTTATTTGTTTATTTGTTAAATATACAGTAAAACACGGTATAAATGTGCTGTACACACACACACACACACACACACATACGTACGTACTAAAATTGTAGAAGGTAAGGCTCATATACTAGAGGAGGAGCATGCTAAATGTAAAGATAACGTAAGTGTTTCCGTACAGTATAACAACCACCTGGATGCACATTTTAATGAGTACAAGTCATAAACTCTTACACCCATCCAGTAGAAGTTTTAATAATAGTCGAGGAAGATGCAATAGCGACTTTTGCTTGTATGCTAAGAGGAGGAGGGAGGTCACAGCAGAGTAATTGGTGTTAAAACATGACCAGTGGTAATTTCCTGGTTCCGAAAACGGACATGAATTCTCCGAGTTTTGATTACTCTAGAAAATTGTTGCTGTTGTCCTGATTTTCATTGAAACTAGCCTGGGTTTTAATTTAACCTTAGCCGGATACATTAAACAGTGAGGATAGACAGTAATGGCATTGGTACGAAAACCCATGGGCTTTACTCACTTCTGGAAATGACGTGTATTGGTTTGGAAATGAAATAAACCAGTTTACTTAGGATATTTTAAATTCTGATGATGTACTTGTTCACTTGTTTAACTTTAGTAAATTTGTTCATTAGTTCGTCTTCAGTTGTATAAGAGTTATTAGTAAGTCACTATTAGATTATTTTCTTGATAAATTTGCAAACATTTAATTAATACTACCTTTAATAAAATATTAAATCGTTTCTAATGAATTTTTGTTTCGTCTTTTCGCGTATAAAGCGCGCACCCGAGTATACGTTTTTTCCGCTCGTATACTATATAATAAAGTATTAAAAAAAATGAAGTATTTACTATGTTAAATTTTTAATTATTATTTTTTAACTGTTTAATTATAATTAAAAGGGGAAGAAGAAAAGTGTAGAGAAGTGTTATATCTTTTATTTTATACTTTTCTACTTACGTTGGTTTTATGTAAATATCAAAAATATGCGTTGTAGATGTCAATACTTTTGACATTTTTTTTTTTCAAACTCTGTCCCAGGTGTGACAAAATAAAGTCGGAGTGTCACAAAAACCCAATTTTAAATCGGGTATACCTCGCGCTTAATCCACCATAGGACATCAGGTGTTATATGCAGAACACAACATGGAAGAGGCAAAGACATCTGTTTCAACTTGGTTTGTCCCTAGAGAATGAATTCCAAATACTGTGGTCCAAGGTTCACTTTTCTGTTGCACTTCCAAGTCTCGATACAACGAACGTAATAAACAGACACCTACAAATACAACGTTTACCAATTTCCTTAGGATTTTCTATTTCAAACTAGCTATGCTGAAAGTTAATCTGATTTGCCCTTAGGATCTCTATTCTTTGGTCTAAACAATGTTTTTTTTTTTTTGTTTTTTTTTACATCCCTGTTTTCATCTTTACCAAAAGTCTTTTGAGGATATCAATTGTTACATCTCTAGCATTCATGTTATTATTTTAAACTTTCTCTTCTATCCACTCACAAATACACTTACATACCTTTAAATTACTTTAAATAAATTTAATTTAAAAAAAAATTAAATTAATAAATACATTATACATAGATTTTTTTTAAAAAAAATTAAATTGTTTTTACCTCTATAAAATTAGAAAAATTTACCTTAAAAAAATATGAGTATTTTTATTCTTACTCTATTCAAATGCTTCCTCAAAAAAAAAAAAAATTTTACTTCATTTTTATTCTTATTTATTTTTATTATTTTTTGGTCAATAAAATTTTTCCAACTTTTTAACCTATTATAACAAATCGGCCACCTGCCAAATTTCATTTCTATGCCTATTTTGAGTTGCAAATTTTTACGATTCACTCCATCAGTAAGTCACTGATGATATAACTTTCGAATATTGAAAGATATCTTATTCTAAAACATAATATCTTATCTGATAATATATATATATAAATTTATGAATGAACAGAAAACTCATTAAACATTAAAAGAATTTTTATATTTCTTCTGAAATTTTCATATGAAATATGCTGATAAAAATACAAAGTGCAATTTTTTTTCTCTTCCCTCCATTTTTCCTCTTCCTCCTCTTCTTCTTCTTGGATTTATCTTTAACATGTTTCTCGTGTACATATATTTTTTTATAGTAAATATCTCTAGCCTCTATGTAAATAAGATATAACATATTCCTACACAATTTTATCCTTCTTTAAGAGCATTTTATAAGAAGGAAACGATTCTGTTATCAATTACCTAACGTGTAATCCCTTTTTTTTCTTTTTTAGTTCCCTCATTTATAATTCTATGTATTCTTAATTATCTTTGCACAACGTCTGTAAAACTTTTAATTCTTTTCTTATATTTCTTACTTGATGTCCCATGTTTTAGTTCCATAATTTAAGGCGCTTTCCAAAACCAATTTAATTAGTAAAATAATTATCTTATCCTCTATCCCCTTTGCTTCTGACAACATAGTTCGGTGTTTTGTCTTTTGTTTATGGGTCTTGTTCGAGGATTTTTCATTAAAAGTTATTGAAATCTGCTACAGAATGTAAAGCACTTGTTACTTTATTTATGTTTATAATTAAATTTATATATTATATATTGTAAAAGGGTATGAAATATTTTATAAACTTATAAATTAATTGCTGTTTTTATTATATAAACTTAACGTTTCTTTCCTTGATTTTAAGTAATGAGGAAAACTGGTTCGTATATACAGTAGACCCTCGATTTAACGCAATAATTGGAGACGTTAAATCGAATGTGTTGTAAAAATATATTAACAACGAATTTAAAATGTTATTATAATGTATAAGTATGAATAAATTATACTGATTGACCCCTTCTGACATTCTCTAAAGGTTTTAAATTTCTCCTACAGGATAAATTATTGTACGTTAAATCGGGGTATGTTAAATCGAGGATTTACTATATTTTAATAATTATTTTTTAAAAAAATGATACTTACAAATAATACTTGCATATATTAAATTAATACTTGTATAAGGTAAGTATTAATTACTAACAATCGATAAACAAATCATCAATAACAATAACATTAAACAATTAATTAGTTATAAACAATGGAAGGTGCTTAATAACAATACTTAAAATTTCTGGTATATATAGCCTTATGTATATATTTATTTATTTATGTAATAAATTATATTATAATCGATATATCGATAATTCTTTTACACGATTATTTTAAGCTTCAATATTGATATTTACTTTAGTTGCAACCAAATAATTTCACAGAATCATCCTGGCGAGCAAACTAGAATGTTTGTTATGTTAGATCTAGAATTAACAAATCGATCCACACACAACTAAAATATTTAAAGATTGTTTCAAATAAATTTATAACGAATTCAGCTTTTCCATTTATATATTTGTCAGTTATAAAAGTTACTTTCTCTTCTCTTCTATCCATCTTTCTCCCCCTCTATTATATATATAATAAGAAAAAATAAGATAAAAATACGATATATATATCATTTTTTTAATCTTATTCCTCCTTGAATATTTTTAATTGAGTTTTGTTTCGTTAAAATTTAACAATGTTGCTTCCCCCTTGTTCTTCTTCTTCCTCCTCCTGCTCCTTCTTTCTGTCTCTATCTCTATCCTCTTTTGTAAATTATTTAAAATTGTTCTGGAATTTGAAAACAGTAGAGAGAATTTTGTAAAGTAAATATATAATGGGAGAATGGGATAATTTTAAGCTCCAGTTCAACTTAGTGTCAATAGTTCGAGTTTGGTGTGAATTATGGAAGATGTAATCAACAATGTCGGCTTGTAATTCCCCTAAGTTAATTGTTCAATACAAATTCTGTTTAATATGTAACGTTTATATCAACAATTCAATACGACAATTTTCCGTTTTCGTTAAAAATATAAAATAAGATTATATTTATGAAATTTCTATTCCTCTTCCCCATCACCCCCTTAGAAAATTCGTCACGTTTCGAATATTTCGTTAGTAATTTTATCTTATATATATTTTTTATACTACGAAAAAATAATATCAGAAATCACAATATTGTTTTCATGAAGATGTTAGTGAATTTTTTAAGCTTTCTTTCCCCCCTTTAACTTCTTATTCCTTCTAACTTCGTCCCTTTCTCTTAGCAGCATTTCTCAATATACAGCAAGTTGGTATGTTGGTGTAAGGTTATGGGATAAGAAATTCTTGAACAAACTCCTAGGAACAGATAAATAAATAAAACTTCTCCCATTCCCAACCCTGAATTTGAAATTTCTACCAGACACCTTATCAAATTTTTCTTGAGTTGATCCATTCCACAAGCGTTTTCATAAGACGTTCCATCGACAAATTTGATTTGCATTGAATTATTCAGCATAATGTTTATCATTTGGGAACATATTTTTTTTTATTTGTCTTTTTATTTATTTATTATTTTTTCCTCCTTCCTGTTGCGATATGTTTATAGTAAGTAGGAGTTTATAAGTATGTTAAATTCGCTGGAGAATTATTCAAACTGATCAGAATTGTTAATTATTTTTCAATCAATCTACATCATCTCAAGATGTTTCGGCTTGAGATAAATCAACTGTTTAAATTCATATGATTATAATAAAGAAAGTTTGTTCAGTTAAATCTCTATTATTACTGTTGTTATAATAAATAATGCTTGAAAAGTTACTATAATTAATATTCTGCTATATTTCTTAATTAACATTTAATAAAATACATAATTTATTTTTCATAATATTACTGTGGCAGCGTGTTAAAAGTTATTAATATAAGTCTATACGTAAATATAATAAATTAGGAGAGGAAATATTAAAAATAATATCTTATTATATCGATTTTCAATGACTTTTAAATGATTTTCAAGAAAAAATTGGGTGATAATTCGAGTAAATTTGGTTTTAAAGTACTCATTAAAGATTAGAAGAGTTAATAATGTACATAAAATAAAGTACAATTAATAGGAAATGCCATAAATATTTTCAATGTGTACAGATTTCTGAAAATTGATGAAAATTACACCAAATTTATACCGACTTTTTGAAGTGATTTTTTTAAATATAAAAAGGAGTGATTTTTACAAGAAAATATAATTTTAAAATGTTTATTAAGGAGTAAAGACATTAATAATATATTTAAAATAAATTACAAATAATAGAAAATAGGGGTCTACTACAAAAATTTTCGTTGTAAAATGACAAAGTGTATCTTAACTTTAAGAAGTCCTCCTGAAAATCCTTTTCTGAATTCAAAGTAATGTGATATTATTTTAAATGTTTAAAATAATTTTTATATACATCAATATATAATATATACCGTGGCGATTTAAGACTTAATGAGCCCCTAAACACAGAAGATTGTGGCCCGTCTACATCATTTTACATCATAAACTAATAACTTCTAATTGTAGCCATAGTAAAACCTATGTAAACCGGAATCGCACGGTTCTGTTTAGACAGGTTTCCGTTTTTGAACAGATTTTACTGTAATTAAAAATATATATCAGAATATTAATTTTTTAACGTTCAAGCATAACACCTGGAATTTTTAAGATGCGCTTTATCTTTTAATTTTGGAAAAATATAAGGGGGAGGGAAAAAGAAATACAACCTTAAAATGAAGTAAATAATAAATTAATTTATAAATAAAAATTCATTAAAAATTTTATTTAAAAAATAATTTTATATAAATAAGAAAAATCATGAACATCATAAATTTTTCAACAATTTTTAAACATCTCAACGTAATCTCAATTAATCTCTCCTTTACGTCAGTTTGTTGAATAATAAATAATTATAGGTAGTAAATACCTCCGGAATTAATAGAGTTGCCTTTAAAGGATCATAAAATAGACTTTTATGTCTCCAGAAAGTATTTCTTGAAAGCTGAAAACCAATATACTCTTACTCAATTTTTTTCCCTCCTCCTCCTCCTCCTCCTCATCCTCCTGCTCCTTTCCCCTTTTAGTTACATTAACTCTTGAATAATTTCTTTTAAATTCTTAATGGCGTTATGAAAATAATAAAAATTGGTTAATTTCTTAATTAAAATCGCGAATTTCTTAAGTTAAAGCGTGAAAATTCTCACATAAAAATTTCTAACTATAAATTTTCGATTAATTAACAGCCGCTATATCATATTTATTAACTGGAAATTCATGCATTTATTTTAACTAAATTAAGGTAAAACCTGTTCAAAACGGAACCTGAATTGAACCTGCCTAAATGGGAAAAGTTCCTCAGAACAGAATGATTTATTGTGTTTAAAAAAACCTGTTTAAAACGGAAACCGGAAAAAATGTTCAGTACTGTGCAATTCGAATTTACATAGGTTTTACTATAATATTATAAAAAACGTTTAACATATATACAATAAAACCTGTGTAAACCAAAATCGCACGGTACTGAATATTTTTTTTCCTTTTAAACGTTTTAAATTGTTTCCGTTTTAAACAGGTTTTTTTTAACATAAGGAAATTTGCTCCGTTCCAAAGAATTTTTATCGTTTACGCAGGTTTCCGTTACATTCCGGTTCCGGTTTTGGATAGGTTTTACTGTATTAACTAAATTATATTCCCGTTAAAACTGCTTTTATATTTATTTTATTAAAATTATTTTAAACTCTTAAAAGTTTTAAAGAAAAAAATTTAATTTAAATATACCTAAAAAATACCGTACGAATTTGAATTTAAAACAGGTTAAAAATATAAATATTTTAATTAAAAAAAATACATTAAATTTTATCAATTTTATTAATTTATATTGAAATATTTATAATATTACCAGTTTTAAATTAAAATTCGTGCAGTATTTTAACTTAAAAAAATGAAAAATTTTTACAAATTTTAAGCAAAAATATTGTATAAATTCGAATTTAAAAACTGGTAAATATATAAATATTTGAATAAAATTTAATTAAATTCAATAAAATTCTAGAAAAATTACATTTTATTATAACTAAATAACATTAATAAAACGAATAAAATCAAATATATCTTAACTAAAGCCTATAAAATAAAATATTTAAATAAATTACCAAAATATAAAAATCATTTATTTAATTATTTATAAACTTATAAATATTTTAATTAAAAATCAATAAAATAATAAATGTATTAATTAATATTAAAATAAAACATTTTAATAAAAAAAAACTCTAAGGTATAATAATTGAAGCTGTATTTTAATAAATTTAATCACACAGTAAAACCTGTGTAAACCGGAATCGAATATTTTTTCCGGTTTACACAGGTTTACAATTCCATTTTAAATAGTTTTCTTAGCATAAGAAAATTCTCTTTGTTTTGAAAAATTTTTCCCGTTTAGGCAGGTTTCCGTTTTGGACAGGTTTTATTGTATTAAATGTTAAGAAAGTTGCAAATTTTTAAAATGAAATTTTTAACTTTACATTAACAAAATTACAATAAAACTTGCCTAAACTTAAATGAAACTCTAACGAATGTTTTTTCCGCTCTGGCAGGTTTTCGTTTTGAACAGGTTTTGTTTATTTAAACATGGAAAATCGTTCTGTTCCGTAGAATTTTTAACCTTTAGGCAAGTTTCCGTTTTATGCGGCTTTCGTTTTGGACAGATTTTACTGTATATTTAATAAAAATACAATTTAAAAAACAAATGTAAATAAAATATTTTATACGTTAAATGTATGAGGCGTCGGATTATTATTTAACAAGTTTTAAATTAAAATTCACTCAATATTTTCGCTTAAAAAAAGGAAAATAATAATAAATAATTTAATGAAAACGAGAATAAAACTTTATTTAATTTTTATTAGAAAATACCAGCAAATAAAATCACATACGATAAAAAAACGGAACCTGTCCAAAACGGAACCTGAATACAACGGAAAAAATTCTTCGAATCTAGACGATTTTCTGTTAAAAAAAAAACCTGNGATTCCGGTTCACACAGTAAAACCTGTGTAAACCGGAATCGAATATTTTTTCCGGTTTACACAGGTTTACAATTCCATTTTAAATAGTTTTCTTAGCATAAGAAAATTCTCTTTGTTTTGAAAAATTTTTCCCGTTTAGGCAGGTTTCCGTTTTGGACAGG